AATTTTCCAGTCTGTTTTAAAATGTGTGGTTTATGCGTTGATGAAAGCTGATCACATCACTGACCTGGAAACACTTTAACCTGACTGTGTGTGTGTGTGTGTGTCTGTGTCTGTGTAAACAGGAAGGAGAAGCTGAACCTTGAGAAGCTGGAGGCTCAGCTTAAAGCCTGTCTGTGCCGGATCTCCTTCTCTAAAGCAAAGGTAGGAATTCACTGCAGGAGTCAAATGTCATACTGGATTACCGCAGCGCAGCAGTCCAATGAGTTACTCAGAAATGATTATTGTTACGTTGCTGTTAGTTTGACATAAAAACCTTTCTGTATCTTCCTCCCTCTCTGTCTGTTCGTCCATCCAGCCGTCCGTCCTGGCCTTGTCTCTCCTGAGGCAGGAGATTGAAGCCGTTCAGTCGGAGGACATGTTGGAAATAGCCTCTCACATCCAGAGACACCTGAAGGTAAACAACACACTGCATGACTTAACTACACAACAGCTTGTCCAGTGAGGGAAAGTAACACCTGTGGAACCCTGAAGTAATGGAAAACCAAAAAAGGCAATATCACTTACAACAGCAACTCGGAGCAAATACAAATTTAGAGGAAATGGGAGTCCAGAGGTTTACTGTGACAGGACCCCAGTGGTTACATAAAAGTAAAATTAATTGTTGATATCTGCTCACAATTTCCTGGATCAGCTGCAAACCGGACAGACCGAAAGTCAAACAATCACATGGCAAGCAGTTTCATTAACCAGCCACACAGCCTCTAGGCTTACTACTTCAAGGGGAGATTCCAGCTTCTGGCTGAATGGGAGGGAAGTGAACACAATACTGAATGGATATGTAATCATATTCTGAACAGCAGCGAGGGCGTTTAGTCATTCTTAGCTCAGCTCTGGCCCAAACTATTTTTTTCTGTCTACGGCTGTGGTTATGTAATTTGGTGTCTTGTGTTGTGCCGACTCAACTCCAGACTATTTTCCTGTCATGTTTATATATGGTAATTTAGGAACGGTGTCAGGACAGGTCTTGAGTTTGGATGTCATTTAAGAATGTTCCACTGAAAAATGAATACAGCACTGTACAGTACATGTAGATCTTGGTATGTTGATGCCACAGTGACACTGCCGGTCTCCTGGATGTTTGTCTTTCCAGCCCTCCCATTTACACACACTTTACATGACAAGCTGATCAGGTTTCTCTTAACCCCCTAACCTAGAAAAAGAATCCAGGCTTCTGTTTACAGTCACTGTGCTGTTGTGTTAAGTAAATGGATTATTTTAAACACACTGGTGTCAGTTAATGTACAGGGCAGAAGGCCAAACAAGCTTAACTGAATTGCTGTGTTGCTTGGTTTCAGATTGCGGACGGTGAGCTGCTGCTGTGGAGTGAACGTGTCGCTCAGTGTCTGTCGGACTACGCCTCCCCCGAATGCAGCAAACCCAACCACAGGAAGCTGCAGTGGATAGTGTCCCGGCGGACTGCCCAGAACCTGCACACCTACCGCAGCGTCCCTGAGCTGCCCACCATCCCAGAGGGATGCTGGGATGAGAGTGAGAGGTCAGAGCCCCACACACGCAAGCAGACACACACTTGCACACACACAAATAAAAAAGATGCAAACATCCATCCCAGGATGTTAAGAATAAACATTGAATCATTCAACTAAAATATTAAAAATCATAATTAACTGGGGGAAAAAAAATCAGATTTTTGGTGTTCACATTTTTCCAGTTATTTTTCCTTGTTTCACAAAAAAGTCAAATAAAAATAACAAACACATGCATTAAAATAGAAAATAAGCTAACACGCTTCAGTCAGAGCTCACAGTTCTGTGCTTCACACCAAACTTCAACTATCAGACTCAGTTGGTGAATTGAACAATGAAGAATTGGTTTCAGTTTCTTGCTGATGCAGGTGACATCACATGACAGACCACACCAAGTAAATACCAAACACTCCTGACAACAACAACATAGGTATTTAAAATGAAAAGGAACCAGACACACCCATGTGTCACTGCTCACACTAAATTTTTCCATTTCTATGACATTAAACAGCTTCTATGTAATGAGAGTTAGTTTAACAGAAACGAAGAGAGGTTACGAGGCCTCTTCATGTTACTGATACGGATCAACTCAATGTGTCACTTAATTTACAAGTTAATTCTATGAACCAGAAGTGAAGTTTTTGCCTAGGACTGTAATAAGAGTCACTATTGAAAACAGATTAAAGGAGTGTTTGTACATTGTACTGTGTGTGAGCAATAACACTCCTCTGAGGCAACCAGCTGTGCAGCAACACACAAGTTTCTGTTGTGTTGTAACACACACACACACACGCCCCTGTGAGTGTCTGAGCTTGTTAGGGCCTCTCATATCTCCAGCACTGTAGGATGGGATATGTGCGCGTCACTAGTCACGTCCCACTGACAGACGTTTCCATGACGCAGCCAGGGGGCCTCACATTTATGTAACATGGAACTTAAGGAGAAGGTTTTTTGTGAGTCAATATGTAAAAAAAAACCAAAAAGGAGGAACCAAACATGGAGACTTTCCCCAGCTGATCATGAACCCACAGAGCAGCTCAGTCCAACAGAAACCACAAACCTGATCATCAAACTTTAGTTGTTTTTTTTATGACGTTACATTTGACACCCGAACCTTAAGCAGAGAGACCGACAGCAGTCGACACAGACTTGTCACCACCGGTCAGAACATTAGATCAGCTGATGATCGTCTGTTTGAAATAGAGGAACCTTTCCATTTGATCCTTTTTTTTTGCTAAATCATGTAAACTGTTTCTTCTTCTGTCCCAGTATGACATCATTGTTAAAATTCCTGAGGACAAAGTAATACTCATTTTTCACTATGCATACATCCATATTCCTTTTATTCATACTGATATCCAGATTTCTTGTTTAGCCCTTGAACATCAGATGATGAGCAGTATCTGCCACAACTTTTCAATTTCTGCTTCAGTCTAATCAACAACCAAGAAAACTCAAAGTAAATTTATGACGAGAGAAAAAACGTAACTATTATAATGTTATCATTTAAGCTTTGTCAAGAAAAGAAGTTTAGTTTAATGTTTTATAATTTTATAAGAATTACAATTAATCTTCTGCTGAAACTAACCTGTATAGGTCAAAGTTCAGAATCATTTCCTCTGGTGCTGAGAAGAAGGACTCAAGAAACGTTTTGAGTAGTTTCAAGTGAATCATGAATTAAAGTGAAGCAGTTAAAAACCTGTGAAACAGAAGCCAGACTTCAGCTGGAGCTGATTTAACCCTTTGTTAGCTGTGTGTATGTGACTGTATGCTGACGTTGTTGCTCTCTGTGTCTCTGCAGTGAGGATTCATGTGAGGACATGATGAGTTCAGGTGAAGAGTCCCTCAGCAGTTCTCTGGGCAGCGACGCTGAAGGGCCCTTCTTCCCTCTACACTTCCGCTGCCAAAAGCACCGCCAACACCTCCGCCAACACCTCCACGCCTGAAGCGTCCGCCATCCTGTGCCTCACCATCTTGCCCCTCTCTAACCCCTCTACCTGATGTCTTTTTTAATTTATTGTTTAATAAGCCTTGGTGCTGGTGGAGAATCGCACACGTGGCAGCTGAGCAGTCCAGACTCTTCTGATAGATTTTAGTTTGTAGAAGTGTTGGTGCATGTTGAAGTGTCACATTCCAGGATGCAAGATTTTAAGGATGTACCAGTGATATTTAGCAGATAAACTCTGGTCGACTCGATGCAGGGGCTGTCGGATCAGACCAGAAACAGTTCTCACTGTTGACTGGAAGATAATTTGCTAAAATGTGGTGTTTATTTAATGGAATGTTTTTTTGACTGTTATTAATCTAAGACTGTTTTCTTAAGGGTAAGGAGGAGTTCTCCCTTTGTGCAGAGGCTGAGTAGCCACGGTCGTATTGTCTTAATGTGGTTATTCAGAGAGAAAGACGGATGGGATGTTTTCAGGTATCCTGAGATAGACATTTAAGTCCTCATCACCACTTAACTGTCAATGTTACATCTTTTTTGGGGCTTGAAAACTACATTGGAGTTTTGTCATTTCTTGCAATAACTGCATCTCCAGATGTGAGTGAAAGCGATGCGACTGCAGCCGCTCTGATCCTCTTCAGCAGAGTTTAATTTGCACAATTTTCTTTTATTCTCAGTTCAAGTGTTAAATGGTGAAACTGGAGGTTGGAGTTTGTGTCTGAAGGGAAACTGATGCGTTAGCAATGTTTTTATTTGCCACATCACTGAGTTTACAGTAGGTTTCCCTTCAGATTGAAGCCCCACTGACATCACAGGGCATTCAGAAAAAAAACATTTAATAAGTGTGTGTGTGTGTTGTGGGTGTGTGTATGTATGAACCTGGTTTAAGTTTAAAGTTGCCAATTTTAGGACGTAGCTTAAAAAAAAAGTCTTCGGTGTTTGAAACTGTTCACAGAGAGAATGTTGAATGGAATAAAATAATGCTGACCTAGTGTCAAAAAAAGTCTAAAAAATGTTAAAAATGTAAAAAAAATGTTAATACAAAAACATGTAAAACTGTAAATGATGTACAAAAAAAAAAATCTGTTAATAGTTCTCTGTAGATATTAAGTTATTTATTCTTTTTTGTCACCTGTACTGAAAAAGAAAATCTTATAAAAATGTTATTTTTAACCTTTTGTCAGTCTTCTTCTTCCATCATGTCTGAAAACAGCTGCATGGATTCACTTTGGATTCAATGTAAAACTGAACTGTGATTGAACCAGATAAAGTTAACATAACTGATGTCGCCCTCTCAAAGGGAAGGGCGAGCTGCAGAAATGAAACCTTGGTGCTGAAATTTGTTTTAGAGCCACAGGTACAAGAAAAACAACTTGTCATCAGAGTGAAGTTAGAAATTTCAGAAAAAATTAAGTCATAACATTTAAGAAATTAAATATAAAGCCTTTAAGTCAACACTCATCCTGTTATGGACTCTAGAATTGATTTAATTTAATTTCAGTATCCCACACTAATGATAATAAAGTGTTTATTGGTCAAACATAACTTCAGATCATCCACTTCTATACATTTGACATGTGAAAGCTGACAGACTGCTGTCACCAGCTGATAACTGTGTATTAAGATACATATCTCAATGTTTCAAATTCATTCTTTCAAAATTATGAATTGCCCTAAAAATTTTCCAACTTTGTTCCTTGAAAAATGAAATACTATAGCCTTTCTCAAAGTTATGACTAATCTGAAAATTTCTCTTGTAAAAACTGACTTGATTCTCATTTATGACTTCTCAAAAATATTTATCAACCTTATTCTCTACATCAGTTTTTTTTCTGCAGTGGCCCCAATACCCTGTTGTATTATACAGAACCATGGGGTAAACTGTGAGACTTCTATATTTATATTTAGTATACAGTAGTAGTATAGTATTTTTGTATTGATTTGGTTTTCCTCCTAAAAGTCATTGAAGTTCCTGTTGTCTTTCAATGAGGACCTGAGTCTTGGAGCCATAGTTTTATTGAGAAAACTGTTTCAGTTTTGTTTAGAAAAGCAAATGTATAAAAGGTTTCATGAAAATAATTGACCACAGTGCCTGAGGTGGACTTTCATTAAACAAAGTAAAAAACAACAGAGTAATATCTGACAAGTGGTACTGCCAAGGACAAAGGTCCAACAATACCCAGACTTTAAATATGTCACTAAACAGAAACACACACAGCTACTGAAATCAACCAGTACACGGGCCAATCACGGCAGGTCGTTTGCAGACATGCTGATGATTTGAAGAGAAACTACTAAATGCTGTTGTGTGGCTTTTTGATTTCTGATTGTTTCATATTTGACATTTTTAATGTCACTACTCTCAGCATTTGAAGGCTCAGTTCTTCCCAGCTTTTATCTCCGTCTCCACCAACACCTGCAGAGGAGCTGCATCCTCCATTGGAGTCTGTACTGAACTCTGGTTTGTTGATGTTTCCCTGGACAGTGTTATGAATTTATTGAACCAGTAAGAAAAGAAACTTTGCAAAACAGCGAAATAAGCTGCCGTGCGAATGCTTTCTGAAAAGAAAAATTTCATCTCAGCCAGTGGCTGCTTGGACGGACACGCACGCACGCACGCACGCACGCACTAGCAAACAAAAGTCATCACCACTAAACAAAGATAATAAATTCAACTCAGTCCTACCAAATCTTCTTCAGACTCAGGACTTCTGAAGACTGTGATGGATCCTTTTCCAGTGTTCAGTGACTTTATCCTCCTTCATTAGATCCACTGTGTATTTTTTGTAATTATAATCCTGGTAAATACCAATATAGATCCACAGTGATGCCAAAAAAACAAGACTTTTTTTTCCAATTGAGGCTGGGCTGGTCCACCCCCTGGTCCCCAGATATAATCCAAATGCTGTACTCCCCCTGAGTGATGGATGGACTGAACAATAAATCAAAATCCCATTCGTGACTTCTTCTTCTTGGGTTGAGACGCCTGCGATCCCTGCGACAAACCCAGTCGACCCTGTGAAATCTGGGAGAGGGGCAGAGACTGGGAGAAACCCGACCACACGGAGGAGTCCTGGGACAGATCCGTCCTGACGCTCCTCTGAGGGACAGACTGTGAACTGCGGAGCTGAGAGAAGGACGACAACGACGATGTGGAGGGAGGTGGGGCTCGTACGTTGCTCTCCTCTTCCAGGAAGTGAATGTTGTGCTGTGAGGGCTCGTCCTGGAAACAGACCAGAAATTGTTGAGATAAAGGTGACTGATATTTATTTAGGAAGCTGACTGTGGAACTGCAACATGTTTAAGCCGATTAACTAATTACAATTAGAGTGTACAAGTGAAACTGGTGCCCTTGTTAGTCTGTGACATTCACTACACACTGGACGGATGGAAAACAACTTCTCAGTTCAAACATCATCACCACAAGTGGGGGAAAAAAAATTCCTCTGGTGAAATCCAAAGGAAAGGTCTTGTTGTTACCTGAATCAAAAGTGTTCATCTGTACTTTAGGATCTCTAGTCTCACATAGACAGACCTTGGTCTGGCTGCACCATTATCATTTTGCAAACGGGTGGGGGGACCATGATTAATTTGCATCTCTTTAAATCAATCACACTCGTCTTGGCCAGCGCTGAGCCCAGGATGCAGCGATGGTGTCCCTGCAAAAAAGTCTCAGTGGGCAAGTTGTTTTAGGGGAACATCGCACGTGGGGAGGTGAGCACTGTCATTAAAGGAGCACAGCTAACATTAGCATGAACAGCTGTTTGCTTACTAGTCTTACTAAGAGCTTTAGCCTCATTGTGTTTACAAGGCAAGTGGCCATACTAGTCCTCTGAGCAGCTGCGTCTTCAGGACAGACTGGAGGCTACTGTGACTGGGTATCAGAAAGTGATGAGACAGGCTAACTGGGCTGGGGCTAGCTGCTTAGCATGCTAACTTCAGTAGAAGAGAAGAAGTGATAGAAATAGAAGCAAAAGGTTGTTTTCCACCTCTGGAGACAGCTGACGGTGAGTAAAGGAGTGTTTGATGGTGAACTCACAATGTTTCTTCTTCACTGGTAAAGTAAACATTTGCTAACACTTACATTAATGTAGCAACAGCAAAACCTAAAAATAGCTCCTTTAAAATGGCTAACTCACTGCAAAGAAAACACCATAGAAAACAGCAAAGACACATGTTGACTGTGTGATTAGAGATTGTTGGTGTTTTAGCCAAGGGGCTTTTGAAAATGCTAAAAGTCATGGGAGGCGGAAAGGGAGGAGAATGCTGCCTGGAATTGCCACCCAATGGCAGGCTTATACCTACAGCCTACATCATCATCATCACAGACTAGGATATCTCAGACTTGGCCATAATGAAGTCTGAACTTAGCCTGATAATCAGACTGAATTCCCATGAATTGATCCCATCAGCCTGACAGTGTTCATATTTGCCCTAGTAGTATTAGTATTTAGTAATGTATGTGTCCTGCTGATGTCATTTTAAGTGGCCACAGAATCTGTGGTAACATCTCCCATCCTCTCTTCTGTCTTCTGGCTGTGACCTGGAAACCCATGTCCGCCCACCGTCATTGAGAATGTTCTAATTTTTCATCTCAGAGGAGACGAGGCAAGGACTTACTGGTGTTTCCCACATTGAGATTTTTTTTAACCTTAAATCACTGGTCTGACTTCCTGTGTGTCGAAGGATAGTTTATAATCCTACTACTGTCTATAAAGCACTTAATGGTCTTGGGATCAAACACATCTGTGATCAACTTGTACGATGCGAAGCATCCGGACCTCCCAGGTTCATCAGGGACAGGTTCACTTAGTATTCCCAGAAGCAAACCAGGTGAAGCAGCTTTTAGTTTCTCTTCTCCTCAGCTGTGGAACAAGCTTCCTGAACACCTGAGCTCTGCCGAGATTTTATGAGATTTAAATATTTTTATTTATTCAAATGTGTAATGTTCAAATGCATTTCCATGCCTCTGTAAAGCACTTTGAACTGCCTTGTGTCTGAATGGTGCTGTAGAAATAAACTTGCCTTGCCTTAGTGGACGGCGACACCTCTTTGTGTGTAAACAGAGCAGCTGGATTGTGGCTGTGGAAAGATCTTTACTGTGATATTGAGAACACTGCTTGATTTGTAATTGTGTAGGAAACCTGTGGAAGCTGGGATGACAGTTCCAGCTGCGGCTCTAAAGTTAGTCCTATTTATTCATAAAGGAAAGAATATTATGTGTGTAGAATCTGAACCATGACACACTGTTGCAAGTTTGTCTCTTTTTTCCTCAAAAGCTAAGAATTGTCTTTCGTTACAAGTTCACCTTGTAGATTTTATTCAGAATATTTTAAGATGTTTCTCTTGCTTTCTCACATCTGTTCTATTCTATGAAATGTAATATCTATGTGTGTTATTTCTATCAGTCGCATTCTGACACCCTGATACCACGTATATCTGTGGCCCGGTTCAGACATGGTAACAACATCCTCTCAAGTGATCCGATCACAAGTAGTCAGCTCTAAGTTCAGGTGTGAACGCACCAAAGACGCATTGAAGATGTATTTGAGATCTGATCACTCAGACAACATTCAGAGCTGGTCTGGACCACATGTGTCCACATTCTTTTAGCAGTGTGAATGTGAATGTGTCCTGGACCAAAATGAAGGATCAACTACTACCTGACACAGTCTGATTAGTCCCAACACAGTTTATAATGAACTACCAGGTGTTTTTCTTTTGTTACTGGTATTTATTTGACAGTTGAGATGTTGTGCGTCATGAGTACTCGCTGTCTCATCAAAATGATGCTCACATGTCCCTCTCACATCCCTGCTGGGAGGAGCTAAGATGTGTGGAAGAGACATTGAGTGAGGGAAGTGAAGAGTCATGTTAGCCGGATGGAAAGCACCTTGTGTCTATACAGGCTATGTTCAGGCACAGAGTTTAGTATAAGTTGCCTGTGCTCAAAACTGAATACACAATCACTGGAGGAAAATACACTTTCGTTTGCTTTTAAGTACACACAGCAAAAGTGACATGCCTTTAAGTGGCCTATGTGGAGAGCTGAACTGATTAGAATAAGAGCTCAGCAGTTCCGCCTGCTGTGTCAGTCGACTTACAGATATGACAATATTTCTTCTATTGTTATGCCAAATATTAACAGCTACTAGCAACAACTGTGATTGGACAGATATGCCTTTATAAAGTGTTAGTTGTAGACCAGTTACTGGACACATCACCTTCCTCTTACCTGTGGTCCGAACAGAGAGCGGAGGGAGTCTTCGGCTTGACGTTTGTTCCTCCTCTGACTGGCAGGTGTGGAGTCTGCTTTTACAGTCCTGGACAGAGAGAACATGCCGGAGCTGCTGGGAGTCTGCTGGTCACTTTGTTTGTTTTTAACACTTTGAGGTGTGGCGATTGGTGTGGATACTGGGGTGTCATTTTGCAAAGTGGAGGATGTTGTGGCTTTTGGCGTCCCATGTTCCAAAAAGCTCTCCAACTGGGACAACGGCCCTGTCCCTTCAGTGTCAGACCACCCCTGGCTTGCCGCAGAGGACCAGCCCGTTGAATCAGAGAAACTGTCCAGATCTGATTGGTAGCTGAGAGATGAGGTGAAGCTCCCGGACAGCTCCAAGCGCCGGCCAGCAGCTCTCTTCGCCTCCTTCTCCCTCCTCCTCTTCCTCTTCAGAGCCTTCAACTTCTCCTCCCTGTTCAGCCCCAGCTGGTCCTCCCACCACGCCCGCCACACTTCCTCCCCCTGCCAGGAGAGAGTCAGGCGGTGGCTGAGCTGATCTCTCCAGACATCTGTGTCCACTGGGTTTGGCACAGGCACTACATCTGGAGCGGTGAGGGAGGTGGAGACGGTGCTGTGAACCATCAGTGAGCGTTTGGACATGCACGCTCTCAGATCTTGCCTCAAGCTCTGCACACGCTCCTCTTCTGTTGAATCTCTTGTTTCATCATCAGGCATCTGGAGAAAGCCTTCAGTTTTGATTGTGAAGTGCTGCGAACAGCGTGGGAGGGGCTTCTTTTCACGATTTCTTTGCATCAGTTTCTGGAGCCAATGCTTCCAGGTGATGAGAGCAGCTTCGCTGAGCTTTACCTGAGTTTCCTCCACACCGCTGGGTTCCTTAGTATCATCAGCTTTATCTCCACCCACCTTTCCATCTTTCTCTCCTGCGTTCAATCCATTTGTGTGATCCGGTTCTGGATCATCATTGACAACAACCTGCAGACCCAACTGCTTCAGCTTTCGACCTTTCCTTTCTGACTCTGAATCATCAGAATCAGTGTACATGATCCCTGCTGGTTGTTCTCTCTCTGGTGTTTCAGTCACAAACCTCGGCACAGCTGGACCCTGGGTCGGCCCGATCACACCCTCATCGCTCCACCCGTCCTCTGTATCCAGCGGAGAATCTGGTGCAAGTTGTCCTGCTGTTTTACTCCCTGATGTTGTGGCTTCTGTCAGCGTTGGTTGTAGCAGGTTTTTTGTTGCATGTTGAGGCAGTGGTTCGTCCTCTGCCGCTGAAGATCGAGATGTGTCGCTGTCCGGCTGCTCCAGCTCAAGGATCTGGTAGAAAATATCTCCTGCCTCTGTCAGCTGTAGCATGCATATACAATCCTCTCCACCTGCTTCTTTGGCTCCTTTCTTCTGAAGACAAGTCAGACCTGAAAACAAAAAACAAGACTAGGTCACAACCCAGTACTTGGCTGGACTGCTTCTGGTCCATGTGTGAATTTGAGGACCTAGATGAAAACTGCTGTGAAACCACTGTTAACAACAAGCTGCTGCTAAAATCCAGATTTTAAATCCGTGACGTCGTCTGACAAAATCACCAGTCACATAAGTCACAGACAAACACTGAGCTGTGATTTCAGCTGTATTCACTGTAAAATTATCACTCAGAGAGAGAGTTAGAAGACACAGACTATCTCTTATTTGGTCTCTCACATGGCGAACAGCCTCCATCTGAGACACACAGTTTTCTGAACATAACTACTGTATTTCCTCAAAAAGTGACCAGGGCCTTTATTTATTCAAGTCACCTGCAGAAAGTAACAGAAGTAGGTTATTAGAGGCAGGTCTTTATGTCTAACTCCCTCTGTTTGATATGTAGCGATGGTCATAGCTGTATTTTAGTATAAAGTCTTGTTTTCAGTTGCTCCTTTATGTCTTTTTAAAGTTACTGCATTACATGTTAATACAAACTTCCTGTAATCATTTCAAATTAAAAGCCCTCTAGTGTTTCAGTGGATAGAAACCCTTTATGTCTTAACAGGGCTTTTATTATTGTGCTGCAATAAGAGTATTGTCTTATTGGTGTTTCTTTTTATATGTTATTGAGATCTGCTGGTTTCTTGAAAATTTACCGATGACTTCTCTCTCTCTCCCTCCCTCTCTCCTGCTCAGTGTGTCTTATGTTTAGTTATTCCTCTGTCTCCTTTAGTAATAATGATACATGTAATGAAAGTAGTTTACTCGCTGTAATAGAGAGAAAACTCAGTGTATTGGAAGTGATCCTCCTCTTCCCTGCAGTTCCCGAGCAGACTGCCGGTAACAAGACAACTCAGTCATGTGGCATTCGGCTGACCAGTGGTGGAAATTTTATTCCACCACTTGAAAATGATTTTTCGGGCTGGCCACACTGTTGCCATCCAGCCAAAAAGCTTAGCCACATTATATTGGTGTGACTTTACAAGTAACAGAAATACTTTTCCAGCTATTATATAAAAAACCTTCGAACAACTTAAGATGGTTCACATGTTGTATCTGGTTAGCTAACAAGCTAATCACTAATCCAGGCTGCAGTCAGCTGGGTTTTGTTGACAGCAGAATTAGGAAAGAGGTCAGACCTAGGCGCTCACTACTTTTGAGATGTTATGTGCTGTCGCTACTTCCAGTGGTTGTAGGTCAACGAATATCTCCAATGCTAACTGTTGTTAAAACTGCAATGTTTCCTTATTACATATGTATTTCTGCACCTCTTCAATGAGCAAGATTCAACTTCTGGAAGAGCTTGTTTGAGGTTATTGCTGCCAAAGGTTTGACCAGTTATTAAGTCCAAGGGTTCAATTACTTTTTCCACAAGAACAGTGAATGATTAATGTGTGCCATAAAATGTCACAATTCTTGTGTATTAGTGTAAGCACACTGCGTTTATCTGAACCTGTGACTTAAATGAGGATCAGATCAGATTACTGGCTTCAAAACTCTGAAGATCTAAAACTAATACTCAGACACGGGAACAAACATGTACACACACTGTTTCCCTTCGTCTATCCATACCTGCAGCAGGTGAGGACAGTCTGTTGCTTGCGATGTCCAGGCGATGAGGAATCTGGACAGGAAGGTGTTTCAGACTATCTCTGGGTCTGAGCAGAGCCTGAGCAGGACCTCGACTAAAACTGGCCTCTGCTCTGCCTCCTGATCACACAGTCACAAACATTGGGAGAATCACATAGATAGTTAGCATGGAACGTGAATGTTCTTTGGATTACTAGTAAAACACTTAAACACTGAGACTTGACAGTCTTACATTGAATGCGTCTTACTCTCAAAATGACACCCCAAGTGGACTGACCTGAGTACTGCAACAGGGTTATTTCCTGAGAACTGTGGGAGCCCAACAGGACCTTAGTGGTCCTGGCCCCATCTACTACTGTGCCAGAAGAGGCAGAGCCAGGAAGAACATGGCAAAACATGGGTGGGGACTGCATCATGTGATCCCACTTAAGCATTGGCACGCATGGGAAACGCTCATCCATGATATAAGCAGAGTACTGTCAGACACAGAGAGAGAGGGGGGGGGCATTAATTATGTAAAATGAGTTCAATCGAATCTGATTTTCAAAACATCTCATGCTTCTCTCTTTTACCTAGCGATAGTGATGATCATCTGTGTTGTGACTGTGTTGGTGATCATTGATTATTTCATTTCAATCAAAATAACTAAATGAAACTGAAGATCCATTCTGGGGTAAAACAAACTCTACGGGCAGGAACACACTGGGTGCGTGGCGTGTGCATAGCCGCTGCCGAACTTCTTGGTTTTCATTTCAGCGTACATGTTAATGGGTTAGAGTGGACACACTGCCTGCGTGAGACGTGCGTCTCGCAACAGAAATAGTCTGAGAAAAGAGATGTTGATGTCACATTGACATCATAGTGGCAACAATACATAAAACTCACACCTTTCACTATAGTTCCAATGTGTAGACTGAAACTGAATATGACAGACATGAAAAAATATATATTTTTTTAAAAACCATTTTAGCAGCTGCATGTGGAGACAGTGGCATTTTAGTGACGTTTTCAGTCAAAATCAGAAATAATAATAATAATAATAAAATCTATAATGAAAAGAAATCCAACACTGCAGTAACCTGTAAACTCTATGTAGAGAGATAGAGATGCAGTAGCAGCAACACATCAGACTTGCAGCTGGTGTCAACACAGGTGTGTTTCTCCACAGCAACTCAGCAGCCATCATGCACACACAACACAGGCAATGTGTTCCAGGTCAGATTAAGAGTACACTGTGTGTGTGTGTGTGTGTGTGTGTGTGTTAGTTTGTCAGACCAACACAGTGATGAGTCTTTTCTGGTGAAAACGATCAGCTGATCGTGTCATGTCAGTTTGCATCCCTGTCTTTTCTTAGGTCCCAAGTAGGGCTGGATGATGTATGGAATCAATTTTATCAATTTAAATTCGTTTTTCTGTGTAAAATATATACATGCTGATAGCTGGCTACATTAGCTGTCTTGAGTCACAACAGTCCTGTCAACTGTGATGTCATTACTTGCACTACTTGTGCAGCTGCTGCATCTCCAGGCGTCTCATTCTCCATGTTTGCTGATGTGGAATCATCTCTGGCATGAGAAGTGAAGCCTCTGGAAGCAGCTGAACTGTGTGTGGAGTCTGTTTCTACGTGTTGGAAAGCTAATGCTAGCTAATAACTGTCTGCAGACATCAGACTGATGTCAGAAACAAACAGTGGGAGGAGATGAATTAGTGTGCAAACGTTTCTGCTCCATCTGTGTTGAAACGGATTATTAAACTGTCTGTACTTAAATGAAGCATCTGGTCTTTTGCTGTATGGGATAGCCTGTGTTTGTTGAATATGTAGAATGAAGACAGACTTGCATGGTGCAGATCTCTTGCTCAACTGTAATCCCTAAGGACGGAGCTGGGCTGTAGTGTTCTCCAACAGAGTGAACAAACTCCAAACAATGAAAAAATGATGAACATCTGACTCCATGGCTGCTGCATTCCATTGTAGGAATACTAATGTACCTGAGTGGTGATGAGATGGTGGAAGGAGTGGACGTCTCCCAGATATCTGGACAGGATGAGTCTCTCTCCTCGCCGACACTCTGAGGTCTTGCTGATATTAAACAGAGTGTGACCACAGACAGGACTTGCCTGGAGGGGCAGGGAAAGGGTTGGGGTGGGATGGGGGTGCGGGGTGGTGGTAGGAAGAAGACAAGGGGAGGGATGAGAAGGAGGAGGATTTTACAGGATGTGTGGTTGTCAATTTATTGCTGTAATTCCTCCACGGACAGAGAGTTGCTCCCACTTCGCAACAAAAGTCAGTAATGGAGGATAAAAAACTCCTGCATCACTGGTAGTGTTGAGAACAACTGGATGAACTTCATGAGACCGAAGGATTTTGGCTTGTGGCCCTGATCAGGGTCGTCATACAGCACTTGACAAGCATGACCGTGAATGAGTGCAGTATACAGCTGTGTGGTTTTGGACCAGTCAAATTCTGGCACAGATGTGATTAAAATTATTCAATGTTGCCTTATGGCTCTGACAGCAGGTGATGCTGCACCTTCATGCTTTTAATGTGTATATTTCAGTTCTCTGTCACAAAGAGCTCACAACTGTCAACCTCTTGTCTCACCCTGATGTCTGTGAGCTCCACCCCAGTCCTGTCTGCGTATAACATCACCCTCGGGTGAGCGGAGAATTCGCACCATCGCCATGATGACTTGGCGTTGAAGTACAGGTTGCTGTCCTCCTCCCGAACCTTCTGCATCCTGACAGAGCAGAGCATCACTTTAATGTCAGCTGACTTTGAACACATAAAACCTGTGTCTCTATAGGAAGAATAATTTAAGACGTTCCTCTCGCTCTCACCCTTTGCCAACAGTCCACAGGTTCGCTGCTCCGCTCTCACTTGCCACCAGAACTTCACCTAAAATATGAGGACTGACACCACACAGCAGAGAACATGTTACTTTAACACCTTTACCTCAGTTGGGAGTATTTTCCAGAACTCACCCAGCTCCTCCCTGATGCTCACTAACCTGACACTGACGCAGGTTGCAACCTCTCTGGTGTTGATGACCTGCAGCGGACGAGGTTCGTTCGTTTCACTGAACCTCCAAACTCCGCACAAGTGATCTGACCGCACAGCAACACAACCTGCAACAAACATACAAACACGATGAAATGTCTGCACAGCACGGAGCAAACTCTGAATCCACATTCAGCTGCTCTTAATGTTTAGAAGTTTTCCCTCATTCTTACAGTTGTTGAACAGGGAGGCAGAGCTGATCTGTCTGATGGGGCCTTTCAGCTGGAAGCTGAACGGGTCGCTGCTGCTGGCGTTCAGGACAGAGGGACTTCCTCTGTGGTGCTGCAGCTCCACTCTGTGGAAGTCTGAAGTACTGCGTTAAGAACCAGAACCAACAGGAAGACTCTGCCCCACCCTTCATCCTCAGCTCACCCATTATTTTTCAACATCAGAAAAACACTGTTTTTTCTGTCTCTGTCGGAATGTCAATATGAGCACTATATAATCCTCTTCACACTTGGTGCTATGGACTAGGGATGGGCAATTTCAGTAATTTCAATATTCAGGTACTCTCATTACCTTTTGTGCCTTGAGTACTCGATTACACACACACACGTATATATATATATATATACACACACACACACACAGATATTCATACTGTAAAAGTAGAAATGCGGGAGGTAACCCTAATCCTTGCTTAACATTGGTTCCGCTTTTGTTTCCAGTCGGACACGGACCTCCCTGACCACGTCAACTGTTTGGCTGTTGGAGAACATGATATGCAAGTTTAACGCCACATATCTTGCACTGCACGTTATAGTAATTCCAGACATCAGTTTTCCTGGTCACGGCTGCCATGGTGCACGTAACGCCAACCGACTTGAACTATTGTAGCCAAAAACAACACGTGCGCAGGTGTGCGAGTAGTGAAACGCTACTCGAATAATGGCGTCAATGAGTCCTCGAGTATCCATCCCTACTATGGACATATTTCAATCTATACAAAAAAGCACTGAGCCAAAGTTGATAAATTTGCTGTCAATCAACTAGTAAATTAATCCACTTTGTACTGGTAGGACGAAAGAATCTTGAGGACTAAAAAATGACCTGCTGCGTGTCCTAAAACTCCAGTGTTAAATTTGATTTGCAGGATACTGAGGCGGTCCATTCCCTGGTTCCCGGGGTAGAGGAGGCAGCCGTGCAGAGAGCCGCTGCTGCTCTCTGAGAAGGGGATAAAGTCCAGAGCGCCACCTGTGGATGCTTCAGAGAAGAGCTGACGGTCTCTCTGGTCTGTCAGCTCCTCGTACAACAGAGCACCCAGCAGCTCAGGAGGGACAGAGTGCACCACGTCTGACAGAAGGACGCTGTACATGTCCAACGATATGGAGAAATATGACTGATGACATCTGGGGAAAAGTTGCAACATGAAGAAAAAAAGAAACGAACCAAGACATCAATCAGACAAGAAGAGATATTTCTTTCATTTCAAATCTTTGCACACACACACGCACGCACGCACGCACACACGCACACACACACACACACACACACACACTTTCTCACAAGTAGGTCTGATACACATTTTAGACTTCAGCATATCAAGGAAGTTTTTCACTTTCCACATGGAGACTGAATTCCTCCGATATCTCTGCAAAACAAACAAAGACACGCACAGATTCTGATGACCTGAAAAACAACAAACAGATCAGGGTGTTTTCTTCACTGTTTCTATCTTTTATTTATCTCAGTTAAACTAACTGAAAGATGTTAATTGGATGTTAGAAGAAAGATGTTAACGACAGCAGGAATATCTGGACTAACACTAATGATACAAACATTTTAGTTGCATTTTTTAACTCATGATTCAAACTACTACTACTACTACTTGTCCTGCAACAACATTCCATGTCAAATTTTGTACTTATCAAGCTTTAAATCATTACTGATCTATCAGGACATGTGAGCTCAGTCCACAGCATCTCCACTGGATAATGCTACTAAGCGTATGTGTTGAGCTGCTGGAGTCATCTCAGCTGGACGACCACTTCTAGGGAGAGTAGCCACAGAAATGAATCTCCATTTATAGACAGTTTGTTTAGCTGTGGGCTGATGAAGATCTAAACTCTAAATGTCTAAGTGTTTTCTATAACCCAAAACCTCCAATCTGGTTTCACTGACTGACTCCAGGTCTGATAACTGCTGACTCCAGCTAGCTTCTGTTCATGTCATTAGTCGAGGGCTTCACACACTGTTTCCAGCTACACTGAGAAAGTTTGAATCATGTTTTCAATATGGACAGTAATGATTTATGTGACATTAGTTAAACTAGACTGTGTCTGTTTATTATTGTAACTTAGATGAAAAGCTGATCATATTTTAGGTCAGATTTATACATAAATGTAAGTAATTCCAAAGGGTTCACTTACTTTTTATTGCCACTATAAATACCATTTTCCTCTTTTATATTCTAGTCTATAAAATCATAAATCTACCAGAGCCCACGCTGATGTCTGGACATTGTGTATTTCGTCTAACAAGCATTCAAACAAATAAATTAATGAATAAACTGTCTTGTCATAGAAAGTCTGTTGTTGTGACACTCACTTCTCTCGATCCTTGTTTAAAGTTGAAGTTTTCACCCAGAATTTCACTCATGCACCCAAAGGCGTCCTGGCCGTGATCCATGAAGAAGTTATGCATCTAAATAAAAAACGTGTTTACAAACCTCAAAACACAAAAACATAACAGTAAAACACAGAGAAGAGATCTGAAGCTGCAGTGTGCAGCTGAGTTCACACCGATTCAGTTAATTATGAATCTGATTTCATTGGTTTGGACGAATATTTGTTCCTTTCATTAGCTTAGAAATCACCATGTGCATGAAATGTCACCCTGCTCATTGTTCATGGAAAGATCAAACTTCTTTAATCGGTTTGACTATGTGTAAAATTTATGAGACAGATAAACTGTACTGTCCCAGTGAGGAGATTGGCATGCAACATGAATACAATATACAAATCACAGACATAAAAGACTGCAGAGGACATTATAGAAGGTACACTGTACATGTATCTTAAATGTGATTAAAAACTTAATTTCTAATTTATTCAGCTGTTCCACTCACATGTTCGGTGAAGTCCTGTGGATCTGGAGGCTCTGAAGGCCAGAGCCAAGCTGTAAAAGATGTTTACAAATACATTTTTATATAAAATAAATAATAAAATAATGGAAACATAATAAATTTTAAAACAAACAAAAAAAAAGACACATTGGAATTTTTTAGATAACAAAAACTGTGAGAATATCTGTTAAAAAAATTGCTCCTCCAATACATCAGCCATTATACAACTGTGTACAACACATCTCAGATACTACGTATGGAGTCTCAAATCTGCTTCACAACTCCTGATCTGAACTGGAAGGTCGACAGGGAGTGCGTCTGAGTGATACCTGCTGTCAGGGACTCACAGTTTTTAGGAGACAGGAGGGGAAGCGGTACAGGCTGAGTCTGACGCCAAGTCTCCCCTCTGACCTGATGACTAGATGTAAATGTCCAACTGGAGAGAGGACCAGAGCCGCCCTGAAAACACAACCAAATAATAAGAAAGTCTGACAGATGCAGAACAAACAACATCTTCAAACTGCTGTAAAAACCAATTAGCTTACATCACCATCAAAAAAAAAAAGAAGAAGAAAAGCAACACATCCCCACAGTGAAAAAGCTTGAAGCAGATAATGTTGACATTAACACAATCTAAACTTGATATAATAGTAATAATAATCAGTGATTCTTTGTGTTCATGAACTAACTGATCAGTTACATTCAGTGATGGTTGATTTCACACTTAACCATCGACTCAATGATTCTTGTTTATAAATGCATCACACCACTGAACAGACAAATTAACACCTGAACTGTCTTGGCACATGTCTTTTAATTTGAGAAAGCATCAACTGAACTGGAAAATCATTTCTTCAAAATATAAATAAATAAGAAAATATGTCTACAATAATAATGATAATGATACTGATGGTAGACTCATTTATATCTCATATCACTGATTTAATATTACCGTTTTCACCTGGCATGCCATCATCCTTCTAACTTGGAATATCAAATTTTGGTTCACGAGTATTTAAAAAAAAAAAAAAAATTATAACTTTAGTTTAGAATATAGTTTGTACAAACCATAGTACAAACTTAAAGCAACACAACTTCACTCAGTTAATGTGCTCCAAATGCAACTCAAATACACAGACACACCCCTCTTCAACACTAAATAATTATGTGTCAGTCAAATCAGTTACTCTCAGGTTTGTTTACATCAGATCTGCTGTAGGCCACATGCAGTGATATGAAACTCTATTGATAACACAACAGATAAAAAACTAAACCTTTCCAACAAACAGGAAGTATGTTGCCATGGATACAATGAGTTAAGCTGTGGCTATCACTGGATCACTGACTGAGGAGCTTCTTCTTTCTCTGGTTTCTAGTCAGATTTATGGAGGTTTATCTACAGTGGTGTTTTCATGTCTGTGTGTTCAGGTCTGACTGAATCACGACTCAGATTTTTGTCTGATGTGAGTTCCACATGTTTTTGAATAAATAAATAAATAATAAAAAATATATATATATATGTTTTTGATTGATATGGTTTAGCTTGGAGATCAGTTTGAATGTTTGAACCAGTAATATAAGACATGAGGAGCTTTCAGCCCTTTTCATTTTGTCAAAGTAGCTCTCAGAGTAAAAAAGGTTGGAGACCCCTGTTTATTTATTTTTTTACACAGTGAAACGTGGACATGTTAGTACAATTGAAAATTAAAACAGCATGTTCTTTCTTAAAGCTCAATTGTATTTCGAATTTATTTGGGGTTTTTAAAGAAACAAGCTGTTACAAAGTAACAAAGTACTGTCAATTTAAATATTCATGCACTATCTTTTAAGTCAGTACTGAGCAGACGACAGACCCACCTGCGGTCTGACTCGGCCGTAACAGCCCCAGTTTCCACCGTTATAGTACTTCAGGATAGAGTCCGGCGGTCCGCAGTTGTAAAAGGAAGGAAAAAGTTGCTGTGGGAACTCGTAATCCATTTTGTTTGTTTGTTGCTAACAAATTAAAATAACTGTCAGGTTTACTGAGGGTGTGTGTGCCGTTGTTCCCTCGCCTTCAGCTTGTCTGGGAACAAGTCTGAACATGTTGTTCCCCGGCTTAGCTAGCGTTAGCACCCCAGACATTTGCTGTTAGCTAGCACAAATAAACACATCTCTACTCTTTTAATCGTCGTGACACGATCTCAGCATCTCCGACTTCAGGCTATACGCGTCGATGGGAACCTATTAGTTCTAAAAGGCACAAATCCGTGGCAAAATTGTCCCAAATCCTAACCGTACTGCTGCACACGTGCAGACCACAGAAAGACAGCGACGATCAAGTTTCCCAGTGTGAGCACCCAGCAATAACAACAAAAAGACTTCCGGTCTGATTTTCGTTTTAGAATGAAAACTGCAAAATTTAAATGAAAAGTGAAAAAGAAAATGTCCGAGAAACGACTTTCTTGGAAAAATTATTTAATAAAGAGGCAACATGTAAGATGATATGAGATGACATGTAAAATAACAATTGTTGCAATAAAAATTAAAATATAGAGTGGCCTTCAATTTGACTGGCCTCAGCAAACAAACTAAAACTAAACAAAAAATACAACGTAAAACCAATCTTTAAAAACGTAGTTGATTTGGGCTTTTATTTTGAATAGAGACAGGGCTGCAGCGTGGCTGTATTTTTAGATTTTCTTTTTTTCAAATGCTTTATTATTAAAAACATCGTACATTTAATCTAATTAAAAGGATTAAACACTAAAAATGAAGGAATCAATCATAACTTTTGGAATAAGATACGTAGTAAAATATGAGCAATACATACTAAATAAATACAATAAAAGGAAATAAATGCAACATATTAATAAGGATGATGAAACAAAAAATGAACAAAAGTATTTCAAAAGCACAAATGTGTATGGATGTATTCTCTTATTATTTTTTGTATTATCATGGCTCTATTATTAGAACATCTATAGGCTACGGTCGTTTTGTTGAGGCTTCGTCATACGTAAGTGGGTGTGGTTTCAGTCAGAAGACCTATCGAAAATCTATCGATAGAAACTTATCGACAGGTTTTTTTTTAAAATTCTACTGGTTCCCAGGTCAACGATGAAATTTAGCGTTACAAAAGTAAGCAGTTAAATAATTCATTAAAATAAATAGATGCAGAAATGAAGAAATTAAATAGGAATAAATTCCACCATGTTTTAGTATTTGATTTACAAATCATATTTATGTACTAGTGATTGTGCTGTCCTTTTAATAACGAAAAAGGCATCAACACTCTACAAATAACGAGGAAACCATGCTCGAAAAAAAATACTGCATGTTTTTATTTTGAAAAGGTGAAACCGGATGCATTTTTCGGTTACCAGTGATCAGCTGACCGAACTGATCGGTGTGTCGGTGGGACAGCAGCTAAAAACAAGCCAAAAAGAAGGATAATTCGTGTTTCTGTTTCTCACGGAGGGACACCTTCATCGCTGGGCCTTCTGTTAGAAGGACATGTTTCAGTAGGACTCGCTTTTTGGGTATGTATCTACAATTTTTGACATTGTGTTTTGGTTCCGTTAGCCGCATTGCTAACCTCGGAAGTCGCGACATTGCAGGTGTAGTTTAGCGTTAGCACTTCACAGATCACTGCACAGAGAATCTGTCTTTTAGCGCCTGATAATCATTTAGCTTTTGTATAAATCTGTTTCTTTCTGGTGTCTGTGACTGTCCTGTGGCAGAGTGTAATTTTAATGTTTTCCCTTGTTTCCTAAACGCCGCTGAGCTGTCTGTAGACCTGGATTAAACGCCAAGGTTAATTATACAAATGCAGCACGAAAGCACGAACTGTTGATGTGTTCATATGAACGTGTACTGTTTGTTGTTTATTTATGGAAGAGGGTGATTGGTGACTCATTGATAGTGCATTTTTTTTATATCAGACTTCAGCAATGACACGACTAATGCGTTAAGATGTAACCTAAAGTCTTAATGATCGTGTGTAGCATGTTTCTCTAATTTCTGTACACATGACAGTGTTTCAGTATCATGAACGTTAGCATATTAGCATGCAATGCGTTTAACATCTTTAGCTATATACAGCCATTACGCCATATATACTAGCTAGAGTACTAGCTAGTAATGTTGGATATATATCGTCAGCCAGAACTAATGCAGTCCAGTACAACGGACCTGCACCCTCATGGAGGTTTCATGATGACACTGAATCAGAGAGGTGCTGACTCACTCTATAATCATTTGGAGGGTATAATTTTTATTTATTAAAATTTTCCCATTCCTATTACATAATCGAGGGTGGGCTAAAGACCATTGAGGACAAAGAGGCAAATCAGTGAGCAGGTTTAATTTATGGTAATATTGCATTTATGCAACATGATGAAGTGCTTTGGTTTTTCAGTTATTTCACTGGATCAGCCAAAGCCCATCTGGTTCTTTTAACTATAATGTCGGTTTGTTCATTGATTTTTAGAAAATATAAACTACATCATAAAGTGTGTGTGTGTGTATATATGTATATATATACAGTACTGTGCAAAAGTTTTAGGAAGGTGTGAAAAAATGCTGTAAACTAAGAATGCTACACTTGGTACACTTGCACAAAGTCAGGGATTTTGTAGGATTATAGTCAGGTGTATGATCAACCAATTATACCAAACAGGTGCTAATGATCATCAATTTCACATGTAGGTTGAAACACAGTCATTAACTGAAACAGAAACAGCTGTGTAGGAGGCTTAAAACTGGGCGAGGAACAGCCAAACTCTGCTACCAAGGTGAGGTTGTGGAAGACAGTTTCATGTCACAGGTCATACATCATGGCAAAACTGAGCACAGCAACAAGACCCAAGGTAGTTATACTGCATCAGCAAGGTCTTTCCCAGACAAAGATTTCAAAGCAGACTGGAGTTCCAAGATATGCTGTTCAAACTCTTTTGAAGAAGCACAAAGAAACGGGCAATGTTGAAGATCGTAGACGCAGTGGTCGGCCAAGGAAACTTCGTGCAGCAGATGAAAAACACATCAAGCTTATTTCCCTTCGAAATCGGAAGATGTCCAGCAGTGCCATCAGCTCAGAGCTGGCAGAAACCAGTGGGACCCAGGTACACCCATCTACTGTCCGGAGAAGTCTGGCCAGACGTGGTCTTCATGGAAGAGTTGCAGCCAAAAAGCCATACCTCCGACATGGAAACAAGGCCAAGCGACTCAACTATGCACGAAAACATAGGAACTGGCGTGCAGAAAAATGGCAGCAGGTGCTCTGGGCTGATGAGTCAAAATTTGAAATATTTGGCTGTAGCAGAAGGCAGTTTGTTCGCCGAAGGGCTGGAGAGCGGAACAATAACGAGTGTCTGCAGGCAACAGTGAAGCATGGTGGAGGTTCCTTGCAAGTTTGGGGCTGCATTTCTGCAAATGGAGTTGGAGATTTGGTCAGGATTAATGGTGTCCTCAATGCTGAGAAATACAGGCAGATACTTATCCATCATGCAATACCATCAGGGAGGCGTATGATTGGCCCCAAATTTATTACTGGGCAGCAGGACAACGACCCCAAACATACAGCCAATGTCATTAAGAACTATCTTCAGTGTAAAGAAGAACAAGAAGTCCTGGAAGTGATGGTATGGCCCCCACAGAGCCCTGACCTCAACATCATTGAGTCTGTCTGGGATTACATGAAGAGACAGAAGGATTTGAGGAAGCCTACATCCACAGAAGATCTGTGGTTAGTTCTCCAAGATGTTCCTTCAAAAACTGTGTGCAAGTGTACTTAGAAGAATTGATGCTGTTTTGAAGGTAAAGGGCGGTCACACCAAATATTGATTTGATTTAGATTTCTCTTCTGTTCATTCACTGCATTTTGCAAATTGATGAAAATAAACTATTAACACTTCCATTTTTGAAAGCATTCTTAGTTTACAGCATTTTTTCACACCTGCCTAAAACTTTTGCACAGTACTGTATATGTATATACAGTCAAGCCTGAAATTATTCATACCCCTGGCAAATTTTGACTTAAAGTTACTTTTATTCAACCAGCAAGTTTTTTTTTTTTTTTTTTTTGACCGGAAATGACACCCAGCTTCTCCCTAAAGATTAATACAGACCCCGCCCACTGATCAACAAAGAGGCATCATTGTGTAAAAAAATATTTCTCAGCTTTTATTTAGCATTTGAACAAAATGGGCATGTCCAAAAATTATTCATACCCTTCTCATAATCAATAAGAATAAAGCTTTATTGCTATACAAGCAAATCAAACGCCTTCTATAACTGGCTGACCAGCTTTTGCAGTGTCTCCACCTCTGGTAACTTCTTTGCCCATTCATCTTTAGCGATGAGCTCCAACTCTTTCAGGTTGGAGGGTCTCCTTGCCATCATCCTAATCTTTAGCTCCCTCCACAGATTCTCAATTGGATTCAAGTCAGGACTCTGGCCGGGCCACTGCAAAACGTTAATGTTTTTGTCCGCTAACCATTTCTTCACCACTCTTGCTGTGTGTTTTGGGTCGTTGTCGTGCTGAAATGTCCACTGGTGCCCAAGGCCAAGTTTCTCTGCAGACTGCCTGATGTTGTTGTTGAGAATCTTGATGTATTGCTCTTTTTTCATGGTGCCGTTTACTGTGATTAGGTTCCCTGGTGCATTGGCTGAAAAACACCCCCAAAGCATTAGGTTCCCACCACCATGTTTGACGGTGGGGATGGTGTTCTTAGGGTTGAAGGCTTCTCCTTTTCTACGCCAAATGAAGGATACATCATTGTGGCCAAACAATTCAATTTTTGTTTAATCTGACCATAAAACAGAAGACCAGAAGTCTTCTTCTTTGTCCAGATGATCATTTGCAAAGGCCAAGCAGGCTTTTGTGTGCCTTATCTGGAGAAGTGGCATCCTCCTTGGTCTGCGTCCGTGGAACCCAGCAGTGTGCAGTGTCCGTTGGACTGTCTGCCTTGAGACGTTGCCACCAGCAGAGCCCAGATTCACCAGGATGGCCTTGGTGGTGATCCTTGGATTCTTCTTCACCTCTCTCACTATCCTCCTGGCCAGCACAGGTGTCACTTTTGGTTTCCGACCACGTCCTCTGAGATTTTCCACAGTGCGGAACGTCTTGTATTTTTTAATAATACTTTGCACTGTAGCCACTGGAACTTGAAAACATTTAGATATGGCCTTATAGCCCTTTCCTGACTTGTGAGCAGCAACACCACCTGTAAAGTAATAATGAACAAGTTGCATCTCGTTTGTCTGAACACAAACGGAAATGTGATTTGTGATTGGAGGAGAAGCTCTGTGACGGAATGAGTTCTTGATGAACAACAGTTTATCCATCGGCACAACACTTCTGTGTATTGACAGCACGGGTTGCCAGATATGGTCTGGGAGCACAGGCTTTACTTTTGGTCACTGTACAAAATACAGATGCTGCTGGTCTTCAGATCTGAGTTTTCCATTTTGATCTCTGTTCCCGTCTCTTTGGGTTTCTCGTTCTAACTCTCCGTTTGTCTTTCCAGACACATCACCATAATGTCCGGGAACAGCCTGGTTCTACCCATAGTGCTCTGGGGCCGCACGGCTCCCACCCACTGCATCAGCAGCCTGCTGGTGATGGATGACTTCAGCACCATCATCACCGGCTGCCATGACGGACAGATCTGCCTCTGGGACATGACACCTGAGCTTGAGGTACTGTTAAGGGTGACGGTAGTGATTGATGAAAATGGTGGTGATGTTAGTGTGTGTGTTTTCTAACTACCTGTGATGTTTTCTCTTATTCTGCTTCTCATCATCTTATTTTAACCTTCTTTTGTCTCCTCCTCTCGTCGCCTCAGATTTGTCCCAGAGCCATGTTGTTTGGACACACAGCCTCCATCACCTGTCTGTCCAAAGCCAGTGCATGCAGTGACAAGCAGTACATCGTCAGTGCATCTGAGAGTGGGTGAGTACGTTTTTATCACACATACCATACGCACATCTGTTAGAGGTTCCATGTAAGTGGAGCATACAGATGTTGATTGCTTGCTGTGAAATAGCATCAACACAGTTAACTAGAGTGACTTGTTGACAAAAGTGTTGGCATCTTTTCATAAAACTCATCCAGAATCTCCCGCATTAATTTTTAGTTTTCACTTATAAACCCTTTGGATATAATGTCTTTTTTTTCTTATTATGCCTCCACGCCAAGAGGCAGAGCCAGAGGCACTCATTCATGTCTAACCTCAGTTTGGTCATGTTTTAGGGAGATGTGTTTATGGGATGTGAACGATGGACGCTGTATTGAGTTCACCAAGCTGGCCTGTGCTCACACTGGCATACAGGTAAGACACACACTCACATCCTGTAATCTCTCAGATAAAAGCTGGGTTTTAAATAGTGGCCAAGCCTCACATAAACACAAACAAAGGACGGGTAAAAAACACTGAGGGATTACAGTAGCTCACATGGTAAATGAATCATAATGTACATTTCCACATCATGAATTCCCCCGTGCTGGGGGAATTCATGATGTAAAGTCATGTAAAGCAAAGTCATGTCATACTTCTGCTCTCACTTCTACTTTTTAGCACAAATACAGTTGTAATGTTTTTCAAACACTATTAAGCTACTGTCATCGAAGTTCAACACATCCTGCAGATTTTTAATATTAAAAACGCACCAGGAAAGGGTTTTTACCCTTGAAGCTGTGGAAGGCTAAAAATAAAAATGGTTGTTTCCTGATCAGATTTTGCTTGTTTGTCTCCTCCTGTTGTCATCTCTCCTCACCTCACCTGTTGCTTTCTGTCTGTCTTCCCTCCGTGTCCGCTGTGGTTCTCCAGTTCTATCAATTCACCATCGGCACCCAAAGGGAGGGACGCCTGCTTTGTAATGGACATTACCCAGAGATCCTTGTGGTGGATGCCACTAGCCTGGAGGTCCTGTACTCGCTTGTGTCCAAGATCTCTCCTGACTGGATCAGCTCCATGAGCATCATCCGTTCCCACCGCACACAAGGTAAGAGCTGGAGAAGACTTTGCAGGTTAAACTGATGGGAGTTTTTTCTCTAGCGGCTGATATCTTGTATAGTTTTTATATGTAAAGCTATTTTCACCACTCGGGATGTAATTTGAGATACGAACTATTACTCACAACTTTTGCTTTTTCATTGAAGGCAAGGAAAACAAGGAAGATAGATCATATTACCCCGGTTTAGCTTCCTCCACTGGCTCCCAGTGCCGTTTAGAAGAGATTTTAAGGTCCTTTTACAGGTTTTTAAAGCTCTTCATGGATTGAGACTGACCTACACTACAGATTCTCTGTCGTTTTATAATCCTTTATCAGCTTTCAGATTTTATACTCCAAAACTATGCAGAACCATGCCAAGAGCTATAAGAGATGTTCAGTGAGCATTTTTAAACGACACCTGAAAATCTATTTATTTAATTTAGCTTTTAATTAATTCTCTCATATTTTACTATTCTTACGGATTTCTGTTTTTATTTTCATTTACATATTTTATCATCTACTGTCTTTCTAGTGTTTATTTTCATTGTCCTTTAATTCGCCTTTATTTTATTGTACAGTTTGATTCCTTTTATTGTAAGATACCTTGAGCTAGATCTGTTGTGTGCTCTATAAATAAAGTTTATTATTATCATTAGTATTATTATTGTTGTTTTTGACATGCCACTGTAGATAAAACACAGGAGTACAACTTAAAACAAATGGTGGCTGAATTCCATTTAGCTGCTTCAGTTTCAGGTTCCTGTTGTTCATGCTGGTTCACTGTCACTGACTCACTGGGACACTTGAACAGAGTAGAACCACTGTCGATGTTATTACTAACACCTGTCCCTCTGCTTTGGAAAAGACCTACTGGCGCAAATAACTTTCTGAAAATGTACAATCATTAAATAAGCAGAACACATTTTAATCATAGTATAATTATCAACATTATGAACTATTTTAATAAACCCACTTCCCACAGAACATCTGGAACAATGAGTTTAATTGCTGAGAAACAATGCAAATATTTTATTACTGACCCCTCCTGTAATAGTCTCATTTGAATGGAGCTGTAGCCAAAAAGACATTAATGCTATTATGATATGCTAAATGATCATCTTAGACTAACATGTAAAAAGTTAGCATGTTACCATGCTAAATGTACACCTGCATACAATATTATGCCACTTCTGTTGAGTGTTGATGGGCTCTGACTGTAATTTGCTGTCTCTCTGTAGAGGACACAGTGGTGGCAGTGTCAGTGACTGGGATCTTGAAGGTCTGGATCATCACAGCTGAGGTCAGCAAGATGCAGGTAGACCGCCGTTTGCTTGTTTAAAATAAACCATCAGTCTTGTGTCAGACGTCTGTATATGACTTAAACAAGACTAGGTTAAAACCTAGTAAATGTCTGGACCGCCTGTGGTCAATTATTATTGATGACTTCTCTCTCTCCCTCCCTCTCTCCTGCTCTCTCTGTTCGGTGTGTCTTATGTTTAGTTATTCCTCTGCCTCCTTTAGTAATACTGATACATGTAATGAAAGTATCGTATTTGCTGTAATGGAGGCGAGGCTCAGTGTATTGGAAGCGCTCCTCCTCTTCCCTGCAGTTCCCGAGCAGCCGGGAAACCAGAGCTGCTCAGTAGACTGCCCATAACAAGAGGTGTAGCCCTGAGCCCCGGTCGGCATCCATACAGGGCCCAGACCTGAACCAGGGTTACACCCAATCTGTTTGAAAAAAAGTCTCTAAATCTAGAGACAATGAGCTAAGTTGTCAACAATGCAGCTGTAAACACCCCCCTAATAGAAGCTGTTTACACCAGAAACTCGGTGCTCAGTGCTCGTAGAACTGTTGCATAAATGCAATGTCACACGAGAGGGTGTGTTTGTCTTCGGTACCAAATCACAGCTGTGCTCATATTCAGCACAACATCACTCGCTCTCGTGTGATATTGCTTATGTGTATCATCTCAGGCTCTAATCTGTAATTTGTGTGTTTGTGTGTTCAGGACCTGGACCCAGTGTTTGAAGAAGAGTCCAAACCCATCTACTGTCAGGGCTGCCAGAGTATTTCCTTCTGCACCTTCACTCAGAGCAGCCTGCTGGTGGTCTGCTCCAAGTACTGGAGGGTAAGCGACTACAGCACCACAGCGTACTACACACAAAGTGTGCACCTGAAAATTCATCCATGGCCTGGGCTGATAGTTTCATTAATAATTACTGTGTGTGTCGCCCTCTTCCTTGTGTGTGTCTGTGTGTGTCTGTGTGTCAGGTGTTTGATGCAGGTGACTACTCGTTGCTTTGCTCAGTGCCCAGTGACAATGACCAGGCCTGGACTGGAGGAGAGTTCATTGCTGCAGACAAAGTCATCATCTGGACAGAAGATGGCTGCAGTTACATCTACAAGCTGCCTGCCAGGTAAACCTGCTGATCTGGATCTCACATCACTGCTCAGTAACTTCTGATGGTTTTAACACATCCACAGAGGAGAAAAGAGTCATGGTGATGCTCAGCTAAGTCATGCCAGCTGTACACACAGAGATTGTTGGCATCTATGGATTTGTTTGATTATGTCCTAAACTTAGACTTAATATTATTATATTTATATTTGTTTATTTGGTAGGGACAGTGCATGTTCCTGAACACATGCATACAAAATACACAATGTAAACATGTCAGATTGTAGCAAAAGTGCTAATTGTCATCTGTAATCCCTGGGCAGGTAACAAAAAAGCAAAATAAAAAAGACATACATTTTGCTGTATACTGAGTTAAAAATGATGGCAGATCTGGTTTGTCTCAAAGCCAGTGTTTGAGATGTGTCTTTGTGTGTGTGTGTTTCCCCAGTTGTCTACCTGCTAGTGAACATTTCCGCAGCGATGTTGGGAAAACCAAAGAAGGCTCGATCCCTCCTCTGGTCTACAGCATCGCTAACCGCTCAGACAAACAGGTCAGTCCTCCGTCCTTCACTCTGTCCAGTTGTCAGTTCAAAAAGACATCTGATACTTAACGCAGCTAACAATTGGGACGCCGAAACAATTTCTGTAATTGCAATATTTTTTTATTTATTTAGTTAAACCAGAAGGAAAAAAGGGAACTATGTAAAGATAGTTTGACACCACATTGCATTTTTAGCAAAAATGTTCTAAAGTAAGCTTTTGTAATTTTTGTGTCTGACGAATTCAAATCAGTGTTGGGTGCAGTAGAATAACATAACAGCTCACAACAACACAACAACATATATATGCATGCATAACATTACTAAGAAGCTACACTGAAAACTCCTCATCAGGATCCGTAATATGTTCAGTGTATCCTCTTTTCAATAATGTCTGTTTCCAGGTAACGATAGATGAGCAGGAGCACACAAAGAAAAATTAGATGAAAACTTCTGACATAATATTCATGATGAATTGTTTCGCAGGCTTTAAGATCATGGAATGGCTCAGAAAAGTGTTAATTGCACATGCCTGCTACATGCCAGAAAAACAGAAACTTTTTTGTATTTCACTTAGTTAGTTATACTTACTTAGTTTGGTCTTAACTTTACCTCTGTTTCCACTAATAATAGACAGAAGCTGTTGCTGATGATTTAGCTTCTGTCTTTAACACACAAAAACTAGCATCCACTGTCATGCTACCAGAATTGTTTGAGTAACTTCCACTTTCAGATGTATTTTATATACATACAAAAAGGCCTGTAATTAGTTTATTCATAGAACCAGACTGAAAATGAGTCGTATACCCAGGGCTCACTTCAGCCACATGGATTAGACCTGTAAAGTTTTAAAGCTCACATGTTGCCAGTCTGCACCACACCTGGTTACACTGATTCGTTTGAGAAAATGAATTAACAAATAATTTGGAGTACAAATATTATATAATATATTTATTAATTCAGGAATCAGTGTGTTTTGGTCACATCCTATAGAAAGCATAGATCACACATTTTCACTTATGTCAGTGTCACACCGGTTATGTCACACTCAACACTGTTCTTCTCTTTATAATGTCAATGCAGTTTCATTCACTAAGTCTTTCCTTTTTTCTTTTGTTGTTAAGGTGCCATCAATTAACCTCAACACTTCCTGCTCCAGATGTTTCACATTAAAAGCTGTCGGACGGTCAAACGGTCAAAGAGCATAATACCTCACTTTCGTTCCAAGCTTTTAATTTGAAGCATATGCAGGAAATGTTGAGTTTCACTGAAGGAAACTTAACAATTATTGAAAAAATGTCCAGGTAATTGGTGAATGAAAACAGAAGATGTGTTAAAAAGTGAAAGTGAGAGCAACAGAGTGATGAATATGACATGACTCTGATATGAAGAACATTGTGCTGATTTTTCCATGTGACATTCAATTGTCCAGGTAATTCAACCCCACTCAGTGTTTTGAATGAGACCAGCCTTTGTCTGTTTTAATTGGCAACCAGCAGGTTTTATTTGAATATCAGTTTTTACTTAAATATAAACATAAAATCATCAACTCAGTTTTTTACCGCCTCCAGTAACTAAGATTGATCAGTAGGTCTTAAATCAGGTCACCACCTGATTTAGGGTTGGGTTTAATCCATGTGTGTGAACATGACCCTTGTTGTTTTGTTTGTATTTATGATTTCATTTTGGACCTGCAGTATGTTGTTATGTGTCTATTCATAATTTATTGTCTCCTAGATATTTATTTGTCATCTGTGCCTTTTGTTATTTTTGTTGTTCTTTTTTACTGTTCTGTCTTCTGATGCTACCACGCCCCCTCCCCCACCCCTTCCTCTGACCTCCTCACTCCTCTCAAAAGGAAGGAGAAAGAGGTGAGGAGGAGGTGGCTGTGGAGGTGATGTGCCTCCCTGCCAGCGGGTGCGACTTGGAGCTCTACACCCCAGAGCTGCTATACCACCACCAGCCTCTAGAGGCGCCAGTAAGCCCTAGAAAATGCATACTGAAAAAACGAAAGACGGGAAGAAGAAGGTTGTCGCCTTCTTGGCTGAGCTGCAAAAGCTAAAATGGACATCATTACAGTGATGACACTAGTTTACCATTTTAGTTCCATTTAGTTCAAATATGATCTTTAAAAATCATTCATCAATTCCAAACTAATGTCTCTGAAACCAACCCTAGTCAGATGTTCACATGTGGTTACACTTAGATTTTTTGCACCATCAAATGAAAGCAAAGCATTACACAATTTGAAAAGGACCATACCACTGGTTTAGCATGTTTTTAGACATTAACTACAAATTGTACATTCTTCATAGTATTGTTGAGTATCCAGCATTATCTAAGACAACCAAAATGGACGTCATAGAAAAGATAATGTGAATTTGGTTCGTTGTTGTTTCTTGTATTAAAAAGATGGAATAATACCAGGATTTAAACAGTGAAATTTCATGCCACTCAATTAATTTCAATGAACTGCTGCGATCAGTGAATTTACTAGAGGGGACGAGGTAAATTAGTGCTATTTTTTGTGATGAGTTCAGCTATGGTGAACTTTGACACCCAAATTTGGGACATAGCAAGATTCCAAAGTAGAGGAAACAGCATAGTTTATTAGCTGTGCTGTACCATCCTCTTTTATTTAACCTCTTCTTTTAGAGTATAAACTGCTTCACAGCAGAGGAATTCTGAATAAATCTTGTGAACTTAGTGTCCTGTAAATTATTTAGCTAACGACAACAATTAACAAGGTTTTTGTTTTTGTTTTGTTTTTTTGCTCAGATTTCAAGAATAAGTCGTAGTATTATGAAAATTAAGAATGTAAAATTTTGAGAGAGAAAAACATAATTAAGACATAACATTATTTTTTAGGATTATTACATCAACCAATCAAAGAGGTGAAAGGACAGTCAGTGTCAGCTGCTGTTTGTCTGTCTAACAATAGAATAAACTCAGTTTCTCCACAATCTTTTCAATGTCCTGATGAGGATGAGGATGAGGATGAGGATGATGATGATGATGATGATGATGATGATGAGCCAAAAGATGAAGTATCTACTTATTTGTGAGACCTGCTAAAGTAAAACTTCAAAGGATGCTCCACGTTCCTGATTTTAAAGCTTCTGATGTTTCCCTCTAAAACAACATGGAACCTAAAATTACAACTTTATTCTCATAATATTACTTTTTTCTTGAAATTTCAGTGTGGCCCCAATACTACGTCGTATCTTTTTCCCTCTTCAATAAAACTCTTTAGTGAATTTATTGAAATGAAAATCTGCACAATCTAGAACAAAATGCCTGGAGTTGTTAAACAACGCAGAGAAAATGAAAACAAGCTAATCTCCTTGAGTGTCTAGCACTAGCATGTCCTGGCTACCCAGGATATAAACAGACAAAAGCAAAAAATGCTCACATTGGAGAAGCTAGAACCAGAGAATATTTGATGTTCTTGCTTTTCAAGTGACTTAAAGGTTTAATAAACTATCAGTATTGTTCACTGTGATGGCTTATTTCTCTGCAGCAAGTTTAAAGCTGCTTTTTGATAGTAATCGACTGAAACCAGTGGGTGCCTGAAAGGAAGGAAATCCATCTCAACACTAATGGATGGTTTTGAAAATGATTAACAGGAATAGTGTGAATTCCAAATGTGTGCAGAAACAGTGGTATGGTTAGGTAGGTATCAGATGTAACACTGTGGCCAGGCTAGGAGAAACCTTAGGGGTCAGGATGAGGCGTTGAATTTATCTTTGAGATGAAGAAACTAAAGATTCAAAATAGTTTTGAGTTTTTGTTGGGGGAAGGTTTACAGCCAACTTGTCAGGAAGATGTTTTTCTGAATTGTGACTTTGCAGCTCAGCCAGAAAACGACGACTGGACGAGAGGAGCAAACTGTGAGAACGGTAGCGAAAACACTGACATCCACTCTGTGGCTCACATTCAACCTTCACTGTGGTAACAAACAGGGATGTGGAGGCATTATTATGTTGTGTATTGTTATTCTCCCTGAAGCTCAAACAACTGGTTGAATTCTGAATGAAAAAAGCACCAGATTTTGTGTTCGCCTATATGAAAACTCAAAGGGCTTTGTGGTATCATGGTCAATGCTAAAATAATAATGCTAGAAATAGTATAGAGGAAAAAAGCTTAATATGCATAATAAAGACATTTTAAAGTGTTAAAGGCATTCACTGTTTACCAAGAACCAAGCACCAAGGAGTTTATAGAAAAATGTGGTACTTTTAATACTTATACTAAAATATTATAATATAAAATATTGCATATTGTGAGAAATATTGCAATATTTGATTTTAGTGAAAGCCTAATACATTGGTTCTTTACAACTAGACTGAGCATGTATAGCATATATATTGAAAACAACAAAGACTGGATTCTTGTGGAACACCATAATTATCAGAAATAAGCAGATACTTGATGCAAGAGAGATGATCACAGGTAGTATATTTCCACAGGTGTGTGTGAAGTCACACTTTAGCCTTCAGACTCATTTTCAAAGTGTGGGAGTGTGAGCCGCTGAGTCGATGACATTAAAAGGTGAATCGCCTGTTGTGTTTGCTCCGCTCTTTGTTTTCCTTCCTGCCTGCCTGACAGACTGAACTCATTCTGGTTCACCTGGTTTCATGCTCTCTTCCCACTAAAACAAATTTCCCTCCTCCAAAAGCACCATCACCCTCCTCATCCGTCTTCATACTGATGAAGATGCATGCAAAGTCCCCCAAGCTGCTTTTTAACCAAAATAATGACGTGCTGAGTCCCTGAGATGACGACAAACCAAAGACACACAGCGAGGAGTGACAGGAATACTGTGACATTTTGGATTCAATTGGTTTGCTTATCTTCACCAGGCACCTGTCACTTTGGATTAAAAATGTGCATATTTGTTTGCAAAATAAAAAACAAATTTACACTACAGTAGATATCTTTGGGGACATGAAACAGTTTAAACTTTGCTTGTGTGACAAGATTCATATAAAGAAAAGTCACCAGCAATGAAATTAATTTGTATTCCTTCATATCCTTTGTTCAGTATATATTATATTTGTGTTCAGTTACAGCATCTGATACAGATAGAACTAGAGGAAATGGTGTTTGTGTAAGCCACCAGACCTGATTCAACACTATAGTTAGCATGTTTTTTTGTTTGTTTCATCCTTGTTTGGATACCAGGTGGGTGGGGTTTTCCTGTTTGAACTATCTGCAGTTAAATAGCACTCACTTTTTCTGTGATGTGACATCCCCAGGCATTGTTGTTGTTGATTCACCTCGACTGCAAAGGGAACCAGGCCTTTATTTGACATAGAAGGGCTTCTGCTACTGATTTTACCTTGTTTATAAATAAATACTGTTGTCTTGATGATAATTTAGGGTAGTATAAATATTTCCATAGAACTAATGTCATGAGTAGAGTCATGCCATACTTTTTTTTTAGATGCTGGTAAGTTACTGTCAGTGAAACTTAATGCACAGATGCATCGCGTTACAAAGCATAGACTGTAAATAAGGATGGATGAAGCCTCCGTCACCCACAGGATTCTGAAAAGCAGTTTTGAAGCACAGAGTGGGCTGCTCTGTTGTTGCCATCTTGGCAGTGTCTGACTCCGTCCCTAACTCCCAGCTAATCCAATGGGCAAATGGGCAAAGAGGAGGGGTGAGTGTGGAGCTGAGGTTTGTGGCAAGCAAAGAGGCCACACCCTCAATTATGCAGAACTTTAAGTCTTAATAAGATGTAAACAGTTGTCATGAAGGAGGAAATTAGCTCTAGTGACAAAAACTGTTTTTTGGACCAGGCTGTAAACATGTTTATTTCTGCTGTAAAGTTGGACATTTCAACATGGGAGTCTTTTGGAACCAGCCTCAAGTGGTGGCCATCGTATAGTGGTCAATTTTTGGTACTGGCTTAATTTTTCAGGTTGCTGCTTGGTTTGGAGTTGAATGTCACAGACAGAGTATGGAAGTTGGAAAAAATCATACAACACATTTTGTTTTGGTCTTTTCCTGTTTTTTGTTGACAGTAACAAAAAAAACTAGAATAATGCCAGACTTGTTCTTTAAGGATCTCTGAAC